TGTCTGATGAAATAGTTGGGCAATATATCACCAATATATCTATTGCAAATAATTAGAGAGATCACCCAATGATGTACTCTATCAAGAATCATTGCTGTTATATCTACTGCAATAATAATAAGTGGGCTGATCTGGCTGATACTTCACTCCGAAAGTCTAACAGCCTTCTTGCATATTCCAAGACAAAACTTTCACCTGATGGCTGAGACTGATTCACATATTGACGCCTACATGAAATTGGTAGATGATATATCTGGTATATTAAGGTTGACCAACAAATCGCCAGATCCATGCGCCATGATTACGGTGAGTTTTACCATTCTTACTTTTATGAAACTCTTAATGTATCTCACACTCGTGGCTCCCCGTCAGAGCATTTACATGTACTTGCTCGGCGTTTTATCAAGAACGATTAATCAGCTAAAGCTAGAACTAGTGCCGGAGGGGACATATACAACCAATCAATATTCAACTTCAGAAAAAGGTCAGCTTGGAGATATTTATATTGATATCTTCAGCTGCATAGATCTTTCCCTCCTTCCTAGGCTTCTTTCCCACCTGAAGATCAGTGGTAGAGTATATATATGTATCTTCTATTTTACAAATAGATATATACATATACGTGTTACAAGAAAACCAGTAACCGTATGCATTCCTATTGCTATATATATATCCATACCCCATGTTCTTTATTCTATAGATCATCTCATGGCCCATGCATTTGTGCCTTTATAATATGCCCCTTTCATGTCAACAATATGAGAAGAGATAATTGTCCGAAACCGTGCCAGTGTATGACGTTAGGAGCAATTGACACCGTATATATTGAGCTGGTTGACGTTGTCGGGGAATACCATTCAGATGACAGCTAGTACTCACGTACGGAACGGTATTGATCTGAATCTGATCGATGTTTTACCATTTATTTTAATTTTAATTTAGCCTTTGGGAAGATTGGGCGCACAATGCTTGATGTAAGGGTATCCAATAGAATTAAGTGACCGCACAGTTCCATAATAATAATTGTCATCACTATTGCATCGAGTCAAAGCATACACAAAATAAAGCATCCAATCCAGCTGCCCAAGAGTTCGTCAACGTACCACAAGGCCCACCACCCCGATTAAATCTTCCTCTCCTATACAATACGGAGAACACAATCCCAACCCCCATCTGCCTCGAGCTCTAGGGTATTGGATTAGACTGTCTACATGTATACAGGAATTGTGAAACAACGTGCGTACGTACGTACGGTAGTTTAAGTTCTTATTGGGGAAGGGGAGACGGAGGGTCGATCCGGTCTGGGTAGGGTCATGTGTGACAGGCTGAATTGATTGAATGCAGTGTGACGTGACAATCACTCTACTCATTGCTCATTGCCTCAGTCAGTGTGTCAGGGGGTGAAAGGGGGGTAGAGATGATGGAGTAATGGATTCTTTACATGAAGTCTAAATGAGAGGTGTGGTGAAGTAGTGCCTGATTTGGTAGAGAAACCTTTTCCTCCACATGCAGCTCAGGGCACCCTCTTCCTTTTATAATTAGTCTTTATTCTCCGTAGCTAGGGGAGTTAGTGTCGATGAGAAATCGATTATTTACTCCAGTATGATTCACTGATTCAATCATCCGGACCAACCAACACACTCAGTGGGCTTTTTCATCTTCATATCATGGCGCAGTCAATGCAACTGAGACATATAATGATAAGGCTAGATGTTGATAACCTAACTATATTATAATTATAGGTCGAAAAATTCATGTTAATTTCTAGTCCACACCTAGCTCAAGGCCTAGGGGCTTATCTAGCCACTATCAAGGAAATATGATCGATTGGTTTATATTTAATTTATAAAAAAAAGGCTTCAATATATCACATGAATCAGAGGTTCTCTTAGAATTCAATAGTTACTAATCACGATTCACTTTTCCACTGTGAACAAGCCCCATTTCATCGGGGTGCGCATCTAGAACCCTCCTCAAGTAGGAAATCCTTTACTTACTGGTTAAAGATTACAGTTAAACTCACTTCGATATACCACGTCAATGGTAAGATTGCATTCTACACATCCCCGGCCCCGGCCCCTGCCAGCTGCCCTTGAGTGGCATCATCGAGTGCGATGTCAGAGATATAGCCTTTGGTAAAATCCTCTGCAGGTATAAATCTACTTTTCATGCGGCATGATCCATGTGGATGCGAATATCAGATACGTATCTTTACCATGAAGGGAACGTCGCGTGGTTTCTGCTCATTGGTAACTGAATCACAGATAATCACTCGGCCACGTTTCTTGCAGAGGCATCATAAAAGTATCATGCATATTATCCTGTCAGGAAAGATATTTCTAGCTTGTATCAATGGATGAAACCTCTCCTCCATCTAATCTGTTTGCTTGTCTTGAAACGGCATTTTATAAATATTATTACATTCCAAGACCATCCATTAATTTGGGGGAGGGGGATACTAAGATACTAAGTGGCAGCTTGCGATCGGACGCGCCACTTAATGTAGTAATAAAATAGCACTCTAATGTGCACTTTCTTTTAGGTATTACCTAGGTTTATCTAAACATATACGTATATACGGTCAACGTGTATGGGAACACAGCGTTAACAAAAGAGTCTGTTTGTGGTATGCATTGCGGGGAATAACGGGTGCAGCGCGGCGCTGAACCTCGGACACTGGTCGGCACGTATTCATGCATGACATATGCATGTACAGCTTGGGGAAGAAGCATAGGAAGATGAATCTCAAGTGCTACCATAAGTTAACACCAGTGCTTAGCTACGTACATCAGATAGAGATCGGTTCCGACAGGACAGGAGGAGCGCACATATATGGTCTTTATAATCATGGATTATTGTGCCGAGATCTCCATATAGCTAGAATCTTTAGTGAAGTGCAAGTGCGTATAATCCTCTCATTCTTCGTTAAATACCGGAGCCAACTGATATCGGAAGACAAAGTACATGTAACAGCCATGCAATATGTCGGGTTGTTGGATACTTTGGGCTTCCTATCAGAATGTTTGCATGTAGTTCAGTAGGCTATCATGACTCCTCGCCCACAGCGAGATCCACAAGGTCATTCGAGGCGAGGAATAGCTAGGGATGCCAACAAGGTACCTTGATCTTACCTGCTTCTAGCCTTTCTCAGCCTAGGGGCCCTAGCTCTAGCTGTGAAAACGACCCAATGGCCAGCTCAAGATCGAGGTATGTTAGACAACCTCGTGGCTCTCAGCCTTGTTTAACATCCCTCGTGACCTTATAGACTGTACTTTTTCATCCGAATCAATTAGATACTTTCGATTAATTCCCCATGAATTATTATCAGTCGTTCCGGGCGAGGCTTCAAAGTGCTTTTGTACATAGATGTAGTTTTATGTAATCCAACTCAAAGATGATGTAGTGCGGCGGAATAAGTCACGTTCTTCCCTTGACCAATTAATCTGCAGGTTGCCCTTTATCGCACCGTTTAATTTCGCCCCTTTGTTCCAATCAGCTACAGGTATCTACCCACTCTCATAGTGCTAATATTTGTGTCGTACGTACTAAGTTCAATAGAATAATCTGTCATATATTTCATTAGCCATTCCACAAATCATCCTCACTCTATCTCGATGTGAGAAACTAGTAGTGTATTTCGAGTGTAGGTAATGTGGTCAATAAAGTACCTCAAGGCACGTGATTGGTGATTCGGTCGATCCATAGTGTTGCACAGATTTAAAGAGAATTATGCCTCGGGTTAATGCCTCGAGGAATGCGCCTCGGAGGCCTTGTGAACTAGCGCTGGGTATATGTCGAGTAATTCCGCCCTAGAGTCTATGGAACTTCATGCTGCATTAAATAGTTGTCCCCAGTAGATGCTGTATACTCTATAGACGCAGTACTAGTAGATGACAGTTGTCACCAGCAAAAACTCGGCAAATTATAAGTTTCTATACTAACGGCGGACTGGCATGGCCTGCTGTCTAGGCAAGGAGTTTCTTGGATTTTTAAACTATAGTAAAGGCATTTCTCCTGGTGTGAGATATATATATTCAACCTCGAAAGACGTGCGTCTACGGTTTCTAACAGAACCGGATGTGGCTCGATACTCGAGTGATTCCGAGTGGCAGGTGAGAAGTCATGGAGCTCTTTCCTTATCATTTCCACGTGCTAAGCCCCAAGCGGCATAGCTTCGCTAGTATGACACGTGAGCGAGTGATTAACTATGATGGGTAGCTAAATGTTTCAACCAGACGAAAGGTTGAAAACATAACTGTCAAGGACCGAAGTGAACCCAGAAGTATTGAGTCTACCGCGTGACTGAAGAAATCATATATATCTACGTGTGGCTGCCAATGATCAACCTGCTAGGCCTCCAGCCTCTCTTGGCTCGAGCTATCATTAGTTACCCGGCTTCAAAACTATACTAATCCCAATTGCAACCTACACCATTGCAACCCGTACCCCAGACACATCAAAAATCCTCAATGCTCGCCAGTCGCTTTCCCTGTCTCATCAATCCTCCGTGGCGGGCATGTATTCAATTTACAATAACCAGAAACAAATTTTCAGCCAGCACGCGTCACGAGTTAGACGGTTTAAAATGGACTAAACTTCGAACCGAACCGCTAACTAAAGCTCCAGCTAGCACTGTGTCGGCGAAGGCAGGGGAGAGTAAGAAAAGTATAGGAAATAATGGTACAACCACTGGAACAACCCAATCTAAGAAAAGATGGTTTTTCTGGAAGAAACCGCGACGTGATAAACTACCCACCAGTACTACTGTCAAGAAGAATTTAGGGACAAAGTCAAAGAAAACACAACCGAAGAAAACACAACCAAAAACACCGCCGAAGAAGAGAAAGAAGAGGAATATCCCAGAGGTTGGGCCCGGGTTGGGGGTACCTGAACAAGTGTTTGATGAATTAATACAAACACCAATAAATACCCCAGTTTTCGAAATAGACAGTCTAGGAAGACGCTATGAACTGCGATATATTGACTGTAAACCAGATCCAATGACTGCCAGGTTTGTGTTGATCGACCAATCTCTACATATAACAACAAATCGGGGCACCACTGATATATACATCTTCACCCCAGGATCTACCACCCAGAGGCTTCATCTAGCCTCAATGGAAAGATTCTCTATCTACCTACCACAATCTCAAATAGCTTCTTCCCATCTCACGACAGCATAATTTCGACTCTCTCTAAAATTACGTCTTCAACGATCATATACCCCGTCCCACCCGACACCCCCGAGCCCTTCCCGCAAAGCATTCACAACCTCCTTCGTATCTATGATGCCACTACCGATAAGGCGCCGACGGCCATAGTAACTTCAGGCATAGCAGCGACCACGGCCACTGCGATGGCGATGACCGAGCCAAACATCAAAGGAATCGGTATCTGGAGCGGAATCTTCGACCTCACAAAGTCCTCCGCGACCTCAACCCGCTGGAACCGGCCTCTCGAACACTGGGAGCACCTCCCGACCAATGCACTCCCGCCAGTCCCGGAATCAACCAATTCCCTCGCAATAACCCGAGATGAATTCAAGGCGCTGCGGCGCCACTACTATCCTAATCCGGAAACGTGGTTGGACCCGTTTGCGAGCCCGTTGGCCTTTTTCATGGGATCAAATGTGATATTCTCGCGCATGAATTTGACCGAGATCATGGGCGAGGACATACGTCAGAAGATGGCGGGAATGGTCAGTTATAGTGAGAATGACTGGGAGGCGGAGGTGTATATATATCCGCGCATCGACTTGATGTTACGGACATGGAACTCATTCCCACCGGCTAGTAGGAGGGGGGATTTCCCGAAGATTCGGATTGTCGTGCCGGAGAAGGAGGAGGGCGCGGAGGAGAATGGAAATGATGTTGCCTTTGCGCAGGCAGAGAAATTTGGAAAAACTGCGAGAAAGGGGCTGGCAAGTTGGTTGAAACCAAGGCTACGGTCAACGACGAATTCGCCGGGTATCTCGGCGAGTACGCCGACATTAGATGCGGAGTTAGATGAGGAAACGGAGGCCAAGTCCGAGGCAGAAATGATAGTTCAAGTGGACACATTATCCAAGGAAGATACTGGAGTAGAGGAGGTGAGCCTGATGGCACGTTGGATAAGATGGGTACTTGAAGGGCCGTCGGCAAGTGGGTAGACCTCCCTCAATACTGTATGTACTTTTATGCAATTCATAGCTATCAGGAATAACTTTAGCGGTTATTTAAATTCATAGACCAACTAGCGCTAGCATAGTGCTCGCGATCACTGTCTCTAAAGCTCTTTTTATTATTTTTTATAACTTTAATGCCTACCAACATCAAGCATGTACATAGCTGGCAGCGATTTAATCATAGGGCACATGTATGAGCTTGAAACAAGAACGATATTTAAACATCTGAGGGTTAGGGTTCATTTGTATTTAGCCATCTAGTGTCTACTATTTATCCAAACTAGGACTCTTGATGGACTAAAGTACTCATATCGATATTAGTTTAATCGCATGTACTTCTTAACTTGAATGTATAGAAATATAAGTTACCTGATACGTGTCTCTCCTGGTTCCTCTTCGTAACCTTGATTTCGTCACCAACATTAATCGTTTGCCCTATTAATTGCTCATGCCCATTAGCACCAACTCTACCCGTTAAGTTTTTCCTGACCTCTAAGATAGTACTTACCAAATTGCTCACAAAACCCATATTTTCCAAAACAGGGACTAAATGGATGCTCAGGGTTAATCCTCCTATCCTTCATCAGCTTCTTGTATACTTGCTTCTCCGGCGGCATCGCCTTCCCCGTCGCATAGTCCACATTGATACTCGTACACCTCGGCGTATTAAAGGTCATATCCAGCCTCACTGCCTCACCACTCCCCCCATCTTTCCTCACCTCCACCTCCGCCCATAGCTCCTCATCATACGCGTCCACCCCAGAACTAGTGGTGTCCACGTATATATTCGGCCTAAACTTCGTGATATCAAAGTCCTCGCCCGCACGGTTTGAGACGTCCTTCAATGAGACGTCTGTCGCGAGAAGAATAGGAGCTACGTCGGCGAAGGAGATTCCTTGTGGGTGCTGGGGAGATGGGGTGATTGTGGGGATTGTGGAACGGTGACTGGGTCCGATGTGGACAAGGTGTGCGGGGTACTTGAGATAGGTGCTGAAGAAGAGGGAGGCTTCAGGACCCATATCGTAGCCGGTGGTGGATGTATCACAGATGGAGATGGGATAGGTCTTAGTTCCAGCGGCGAATGTGGGGGTTAGGGGGATGGTGATGGGCGTGCAGGAGGGGGTGGATTTGTGCGTGACGTGAAGGGAGGTGAGGTCGTCGGAGAGGGAGGGTTGAAATAGACAGAGCTATGGGGCATCAGTATCATTAATTATATTGCTATTTATATTTATATTCCTAATTGAGGCCAGGGCTAGTAGGATGTAAAAGCAAGACCGAAAGATCATTTGGGATCTGATAAGCCATAAAATATATAGCGCAGGTGATACCATTTCCCAAACGATATCTCAGATTGCCCATAGCTAGATATAGACCCCGACTAACGGACTAACCTCTGGGTTATCCTTAACCGTCAAATTGACGACCTTGCCATCCTCGGGATCCACGCGGATCAGCATAAACGTGCGGTCATGCTGCAAGCCATTCGGCGTGATCGTGGCACTAGACACAGGGATGGGGAGTATTGATTTGATGGGATGGATAAAAAGCTACCAATCCTCTTAGCTATCACCCGCAACACAAAAACTATTAGAGAAAGTCGAACTTGCCTTATCGATTTTCATAGTTGCGATAATTATTAGTTCGTGAAGGAGGTGAAGAAAGGCTTTAAAAAGCGGAGGCACCCTCTGGCTAGCCGTGGCAAAGTAGCTCAGGGCTACAAGAGATGTGGGGTTAGTTAGCTAGAGTGTGTGGGGGTTGCCAATAGCGGGGGCGGAGAAACACCTGCCAAGGAATAGGGCTTAGGGTGCTGCTAACTCTGAGGATTGCCGCTTCTGTCGGGATTAGTACTGCAGAGTGAAGGAAGCTAGGCCCGAGGCGATTTGCTAAGACCGCTTCTCATAGGGAAGCCTCAACTCGAGCCATCCATGTAATAACGCTGATCTTATAAACGAGAAGGCTACTGATTACTGGTAGAAAAGGGCGTTATGAGACACCTATTATATCGCCCCCCAAGCACTATTCGCACGCCGTAGCTGTCCTCAGTAACCAACTGGGCAATAAAAATATTAGCCGCTAGGTCTGGCCTGACATTCTCAACGATACATGGCTGCAGAATCTAACCTCCATGCAGACCTCATTGTTACCCGCAGCTAGTACACCTTCAAACTCCGCCAAAGAAATCACATTGTCTTATTCACCTCACCCAATCCAATTTCTCTTCCCAGGCAAGTCCGACTCTCGTGCCACGCCCTCCCCCCTCCCTCGCCCTAAACACGCAGTCTAGATTCTCGGATAAGATTCAGCCGCGTTACATGGCTAAGCATGGCTACTTTCTTGGTGACTATGGAGAGGTAGTGTAAATGTAGTTCTGGCCCATCCGTCAACCCCTCCTCTCCACTAACCTTTGGCATACCGGAGGTTGTCAACTGGCACACCACCCATCAATTGCAACCCTCTCAATATATGATCATCGTCGTACCGACGAAAGCAGTTCTACATCAGCTCCAGAAGCGGATCCTTGAAACAACGGTGCTCACAAGGAATGAAGCGTAGCAGCAGCAAGATACATGACAGAACACCTCTACCCTGTGACGTGGACAATGTCGGCTCCCTTCTATTGGATTTATTGCAGTCTACGCTAATCCTACCACCTATGTTTGCAGTGTAGCTTAGCCCCCTCATCCGAAGGGACCAGTTTTAAACACGCGTTGGCCACCTCCATAGGAAATGAAACCCTCGCGCGGAGAGTTTATCGGTGCCCTATTCGGCTCAAAAGTATGTGCTAGACAGGAATCTCTCTAGACGACACGTATGTGTATCAGTTAGGGGCAGAATTGTGCTGGGAGATCCACCACTAGCAAGCCCGCCAAGGGCGTATAGACTACACTACTAAAGCACTAAGTTTTCGACAACTACAAGAGATTCCACCAACATATTTACCTCAATGTTTCATCTAATACGAAAGCAAGCTCGGAGATTATGTGATAATAGAAACGGGCAATGCATACTACCATCCACACCAAGGACAGAGATGGACAGCCCAGAACTTTGGACTGGGCCAGGTCTCTGGAATCTCAGCCCCATAGATGTTAAAACTTCGAACCATTGTGTTGGACAAACCATTATACTCTGTTGTGTATATTTCAAAGCCCTTGGGCACATGCTCTCGTGGTGACCAGAGCGATGGCATAATCTTTCTTCCTTTTTTTTTACGACCAAACGCCTTCAGAATCAAAGGGACGCTTAACAGCCCCATACCAAACCTCCCCGAAAGGTTTTCACTTACCCTAAGGGTAATTAGTGCAGTGAGAGCTAGCTGGCGTCAAGCTTGCCCTAAATTTGTCGGAGACTTTCATTTCTCTCATTTTTCATCATCTCCTCGCTGCAGCAAGTCGACAGCGGAAAGAAGAGGCATTCTAGCTTCTAAGAACTTACCCTTTTAGATTAACCATTCTCCTACTCTCTACGGGTAGTTTTCTACGTACCGTATGAGCAATCACGACAGTATAGGTCAGCTAGGATAGAGCCTCCATCTGGGGTTTTCTATTTAACCAGACGCGTTTTCGCGTTTTCACCTTTTCACCATGGGCTCGTCGTATCCAGAACAATGAAAAAGAAGCACAAGCGCAAGCATTCCCCAAAGATATGATTAAGTAATGAAGGCACAGAGAGGCAGGTATATATGAGTGATATTCCATGACTGGGCCTAGGATCTCTTTCCCAGGAAACTGGCGAGTATGCCCTTGTATCAAATCTGGAAGACATAGAGTACCTACATACGCTCTCCTCGCTTATTACATCGTTCAACCTGGCCGGTTTGGCTAGGGTTTGCTGACCGGGATGTGACAAAAAGAATTTCTGATCTCTCTAGATTCCTATGTCTGGTGCTGCATAGCTGCCTGGCGTTTGTTTTTCGGGACATTATTGCTGTTCTCGGTATGGTTAGCTTGACCTGTCAACGATAATCCCACATCCACTATACTAGCTGGCCGTTTCCCCGGGACTCCTTGTCAATGTCCCGGCCGGTTGGCTATATGCATGTATGCGCACGAGCTATCGGAGCACATACCCACCTTCTGCTTTCGGCGCGGTTTTGATACATATCACCACCATAGTGCTAGCGAAATAGCAATACTGAATGGGGCCGCGAGAAGTAATCAAAACTGAGTATATATAGACCTCGCCAACTTCACTACCCCTAGCTCGGTGAATCAACCTCGCATTGCATCACAACCTGCACTCCATTTTAAACAAAGGTCACAACAGCCCCTTCAAACGACTGGTTAATTCGACAAGCCGATCTGATAGAAGTCCCTTCTGTTCCGAGCGACTAAATTACTTTTTTCAGTGAAGATTAGGTACGGGTATCTGCGAAGCGTAAAGATTCTGGTCTTGTGCCAGTCCAACATAGAATAGTAGGGCCTTTATATGAGATCCTGGAGCCCCAATGAATTGGTTTCACATGATCATTGACCCTACCGTGTCGAAAAAGAAAAAAAGGTGAACTTGAGGATCGAGCTCATACTTCCGCTGAGAGGCTTCCACGCTTCGTTATTTCTCATTACCTCCTCGCCGCGGCCAGAGGATAATAAAAGCAAAGGAAGAGGCGTGCATGAAAGCCTTATGTAAAAACATCACTATACCGGCCCTTAGAGCTACCTTATATCCATCCTATCTTTCCAGGTGCCGCAGTAAACAGCTCCTTCACGGAAGGACGGACACGAGACCGCTTCAAGGGTCGATGAAGGTTGATCGGCTTCTAGGGCCCTTTTACTAAGAGGCTTTCAATCCTCCCCTAAAAGGACCTACTAGCGGCGTCAAAAACTGATGGAGCTTTTCTTCGTGATGTAGGCACAGATCGGCGCTGTGGAATTTGACGGTGAGGAATGAATGGAGGGGATGTGTTGTTTAAATAGTTTTGGTGAATTGGTGCCAAGGGGAATGTTTAGCCAATTCTAGAGCTATTAGGAGTGATGGCGTGACTCTATTCCCTTCTTTGGATATAGAGATCTTTTCTGGGTGAAGGCTTTGATTATATGTGGGTCCATGATCTCAAAGGCACTAGTTGCAATTGGGTAGAGTACTAATTGGAGAAAGCCCAGCATAATTTAGTAATCAGCAACGCCTTCAACCCCGCAGTCACTATCCCCAATTATGCCGTAAATTATAAAACTACATATAATTATCATTATTCTTTAACTACTATTTAACATTCATACAAACTCCGTATAGGTATAGTTCTCGTTCAAAAATCATGGGACAACGCAACCACGAGTTGCTACGGGGGCTTGTCCCAGGATTTTTGACATGGAGTTATACATATAGCCCTCTTAACTACACACACAGCACCAACTCCCATGCCTTCCCGATACCGTAGCTTTCAAGGATCATGCCTGGTATAGCGGGTCGGCCCGAGACCGCAGTGTCGGACCAGACTAGAGTATACGCAGAGGAGAGCAATTCTTTCGGGCCGAGCACCCCGCGCGCCTTGGCTTTCTGGCCGGATACAAACACAGCCCTGCTTTTCCCTCAGCCCAAGAGCACACTTTACTCCACCTGGCCATTCTTACCGGGCTGCATCCACATACATGTAGTGCATACAGCCAGCCCTCTTCACCCAGTCTCCAATTCTTCCAACCGAGTAGAGCAATCCTTGAGAATCGAGCTCAATTAGCCATCTAAATACTCTATGGACATGGAAGTACTGTCAATGATCCTGCACCTTCTTGAGCGAGACTAAGCGCGTTAAAGCGCTTACGCGGCGTGGGTTTTCCACACTCTGGGTGCTGTTGTAGCGAGGAGAAGAGCCATGGTACTCTCCGTGTAAGAGATGCAGTGGGTGCATATGCGCCCATGCATGCAATGCATTTCTACCAGCACTACCATGGCAATATAAACAACCCTCCCCGGCCGCGGCCTTGGAAGCGATCGAGCTTGGGTGGCTTTTTTTCGCCTGTGGGAGGGTATATAAATGCTGCCTATGATCTCTGCGCTTCCCCGGGCCGTTGGAACTCGATTACTACTCAGCCCCACGACAAACAAAGATATCATTACAACTGTAAAGCTGCTTGCCGACCCGACCCCACTCAAAAACTACCTTTGACTCCAAAATGGCAGATACTCACGAAGAATCGCCTATTATAGTAGCTGATGTTAGTTCCTCTATGGATTCCCCCCCCCCCCCCCCCCAAATACTGCTTGACAAATCGTTTCTTTGTCAGCTGATCATGATAATACTCAACCTTTCAGGACGAATATAGCAGTACTTCTGATGATGATGGCTACTCATCCGGACCAAACAGCTATACCACCTCCCTAGCCTCGTCCATATTAAAGTACAAGTACGAGAATGGCCGCCGCTACCATTCCTTCCGCGACGGTCAATACGTGTAAGTACTCCCCCTCAGAAGAAAACACTCAAAACCTATCACTCACCCACCACCCGTAGCCTGCCCAACGACGAAGAAGAGCAAGACCGCCTAGATCTCTTCCACCACATCTTCACCATGATCTTTGAGGGCAATCTGCACCTGGCCCCAATCGGGGACAACCCCCAGCGTGTCCTCGACATCGGCACCGGCACCGGCATCTGGGCCATGGACTTCGCCGACCGCTACCCCTC